TGTCTTTGAGAAGACACTCTTGAAAGGCTGGACCTTGACTTTGGGCTTTGAAAAAACCTATTTATAAAAAAACGTTAAAATACCTAAAAGGAATTAAATTTCCTTTTAAATGTTTTTTTTAATCAAATCCAAAATATCTAAAAGGAATAAATATTCCTTTTAAATATATTTTTTAAAATCAAAACAACAAAACCAATTCAAGACACAACACGAATCCGAAAACGATAGCCAAAAAAAAATGGAATCAACTTAAACCAATCACAAAACGAATCGCAGAAAACCGAAATCGAAAGCAAATCAATATAAATATAACCAACGAAAAAAGAAGTAAGTGTATAGGTACCGTATACACTATCTATACTATTATTATTCCTTTGAAATATTGTTAAACAACCTAAAACAACGAAAACCAATTCACGATTCTAAATAAACAAAATCCAAAATCAAAGCCAGAGTCTAAATATGTATAAAGGAATACCAACCAAATCAACAAAACCGATCCAAGAAAATACACAAATCCGAAAATGAAAGCCAATATAAATCCATTCAACCTTAACCAAATCACAAAGCAAATAACAAACAACCGAAATCGAAAGCAGGTAGTCGAATAAGCTACGAAATAGAAACAATTTAAGCGTATAGGTACCGTATGTATATTATTGACGCGCGGCTCAACAGCGGGAGTTAAGTACATGTAAGGAAACATTTCGTTACCGCGTTTTAAAAACCTAGTAACGACATCTAGCGGAATCAATTTAAACTATGTATATGTTAGTTAATAAGAACTCTCAAGAAATATTTTTCTTACAATTTCGCACAATTTTTCTTATTGTAATACCGATTCATTCATAACCACATATAAGAACTGTATTCATTTCCGTTCAATAAATATTACTAAGGCTTATTAATAAGGCTTACTAAGAACTGTTTCTACCACAGTTAAGTAATAGTTAAGGGTGAAAGCGTGACAAGTGGTGATAGTATTTCTGATCCACACTTATAATCACGCCTGTAACCCTTGCGGGGTAGGCAGAGCATCAACGGATTACTTAATATCGTCTGCGAGATTATCGCCTATTCTGTGAATTACAATGCACCAAAACGTTTGAAGAAAATCAGCTGGTGAATTTTATGTTTTTATCGCTCTCTTCCCGGTCCTGCGTGGAAAAATACAGATCCATACATTTTTTATCTTAATTTTGGTAAAAAGACATAATAATCCAGATATTCTGACCTTCTGTGTTCGTCCATCGTACCGTCATCCGACTTGTTGAATCACGGTGGCACCACCTAGCTGAATTTAATTTTGCAACATATTCGATTTTCCCACGGGAATGATATGTTTTCCGCTGAAAAAAGTAGCCTATGTCACTCTACAGCCACCGAACTATCCCCATACAAAAAATCATGCCATGCCGACGGTCTGTTGCGACGTGAAAGAAGGACAAACTTGTGCAACATATTCGATTTTCCCACGGGAATGAGATGTTTTTCCGCGGATAAAAGTAACCTATGTCAATCTACAGCCACGGAACTATCCCCATAAAAAAATCATGCCATGCCGACGCTCTGTTGCGACGTGAAAGAAAGACAAACAAACAAACAAACACACTTTCGCATTTATAATATTAGTATGGATTATTAAAAGATACGGCTCAAGGACAAAAATCATGTGGCTGTTTGGAATTCATTCGTAGTAACTCACAGAACTACAAATACATTAGAATCTTGGCACAAAACTATTTCAGATGAAGTTAAAGATAAACATCCGAATTTAGTTAGTAGTTAGTTTCTGGATTACTTGAAAAAAAAAAACGCCCATTTTATCGCTAATACTTCTATTGTAAGAAAACGATTGCAAATGTAAGGTACAGTTGCAATCGTTTCCTAAATTTCTTTTTTTTTTTAATAGAGACGAATTTATCAAGGATATTTATAATTACATCTGCTCAATAATGAAATTAGTGTTGGTCATTTTCTTGACATACGAGTTTTGCAGAATTTATAAATTACTTATTATTATTTAAATAGAGGAAGTTTAATCTGGTTTAAATGCAACATTTCATATGATTTTTGTTTAAGTGTGTGGTTATAAAAATTAATTAATACAGTTCAACAGAAAATATGAATATATTTTCTGTTGAACTGTACTTGGGGTGGAAAGGCGGAACTACAATCAAAAAGTGAATTCCGATTATCCACTCCTTCTAGGGTTGATAAACGAACACGCGTTTCCAAGTATCCACCCTAAGGTGGATTTCTCAGAGTGGATAAATGGAATAACCCTAATAAATATGCATAGCACACACGCTGCCAGAGTTTCAACATCCATTGTGTGTCTCCCAAGAGCGAGCGACCAAGTGCGCGAGTAATTGCGCGAGTAGAGTAGTGTGTGGACAGAGAGGGCATCATGGCGGCAGCGCGAGAAGCAAAGCGATGAACAGCGTGAGGAGCATCTTTCTATAAGTTCACAACTGGACAATAAATATTTCTTATTGTATAGAAAATTTTAACCAATCGTCGCGCTTGGCGCAATGGCAATCACAGTACCAGATATTTTGCAATATAAACAATGCTTCCCATCGTCGGCAGTGGCGGCGTAACGTGCGTTGGCACCCAGAGCGGTTTTCTATCAAGCACCCCTCAAATAAAAATAAAATGTTGGACATGCTTAGGTACCGGGCATTATTTTGTTAAATTATTCTATTCATCATCATTGTAATTACAGCCCTTCACAAGTCCACTGCTGAATAAAGGCCTCTCCAAAAAAATGCCACAAAGAACAGCACCTGAGCCACCTGCATCCATCGACTTCCTACAAGTCTTACCAAGTAGTCACTCCATCTAGTGGGTAAGGCACTCTGCACCTCGCCTACCGTTACGAGACTGCCACTCGAGAACCTTGCTTCCCCATCGGTTGTCGATTCTTCGATCTATTTAGCCCGCCAATTGCCACTTCATTTATCCGTTAGGCTATGACGGTAGGTCTGGTTTTACTAGGGTTATCATCATTTCTAAGTTTATCACACAGCGCAGAGGAACCCCGAGCATAGCTTTCTCCTTAGCTCACTGAGCGACCTTGTACTTACTCTGCCACTGTAATGTAATTTGAAGTGTTTATATTATGGAGGGTAGAGGTAAGG